GAAAATACATTTATAGGATTTTTATTATTTTATTATTCAGTGACCGACCCTGAGTAAAAACAAAAGGGAGCAAAAATAAAATAAATAAAAGAAAAAAAGGAAAGAAAATCAAAATAATGGTTGAACATCAAATTTTCATGCGGGTTCTACTACATGAGATTATGGGTCCCCCTTATATCTCGTCACCTGAAAGGGTAACAGCTATAAGCATATAGCAGAGTGAGAAATATTATGCCAAGAGTATAAGGAATACAAAATAACCATGGATAGTTATTTAAGTTAAAATAGTAACATAACTTAATTTGAATAAACGAATGATTTAAATTAGCAGAATCTAAAACACAGGAATTATGCAATTAAATAACAAATAACCACGGTATAGAACAGAACAGAGGTCACTGGAGTGACAGTCAGAATAGAAGTCAATGGATCCATGACAAACAGAAGACCACAAAGTGGCCAAATAGAGGCCAATAGTTATTTAAGTCCCCCAAGGCATGAGACTTTCGTGGTGGCACTTACAAAACATAATTGTTTATAAGATCATAGTCAAATACCTTTTAAAATTTAAACAAACATATCCATGGATTTCATTTTAAACAAATTGAGTTTAGAAATTAATCCACGTAATTGGAATATTAATATGATTTATAAAACATAAACTTGTATAAAATAATTTATGGCAAGTCAAAACATACGTAAAATATATTATGGTGACTCAAGGTATAATATAACTCACCTTAGTATTGACCCTTATCCGTTATTTTTCACTATCACAAATCTTCTCATTTCTTAGTTTCCTATCTCCAGTACTCTAGTGTGTTTCTCCTTCTTTCTTTTTTTTTCACTGATCTTGATCAACTCCTCCCTATTTATAGGGAGGCAAACCGTGCCATCACTCAACACGTGTTCACAGCCAATCTACCTTAGATTTGGATTAAAATCTTCCTAGATTTATACTTATCTTATTATATTAACTTTTATGGTAATTATACTTTGGCCCAGTTCTTTATGCTAATTACGTTCCACTCGTTTGATAAACAAAAAAACAAACTAATTAAATGACACTTTATCGCATACCAACAGAAAATTAATTATTTTATTTTACTATCACTCGCACTATTAGTATTATTATTATTAGTATTATCATTATTATCGTGATTGGTTGTGGTATTAATTAAATATTTAGGGTGTCACAGTTTGCATGTATTTTGGAGTGGAAAATGTATGATTGTAGCGTGATGTTGGTGGGGGTAGGATGCGATGTTTGGGTTGAATTTGGGTGGGGTACTGTATGTTGATGACAGGGTTTGAGTTTGGGTGTGCAGTAATCTATACGAAGGGGTGAATGATGGTGTAATGGGGGTGGTGTTGTGTAAAATATGTTGGAGTTTTGTGTGAATAGTTTGTAGTGGTTGTGTGTTGAGGGGTTCAAAAAAATTTTGTGTTGTATTAACAATGTCTGGTGTGTCCTTGTTTTTTTTTTTTAGATGTATGTTGGTGTTCGATCGCAATGTGATAAAGGTGCAACATCACCCCCACAACATCAACCCAACAAAATACACAAAAAAATATCCCCATAAACGAAGAGAATACCTTGACATACAACCACACAATGTAACACCAGCGTCGGAAAATCAACACGTCACCAACGACCACCCATTAACGCACGACTGATTCCATGGTCTACATAAACCCCAATATCAGCAATACCAAATGAATTGGTGGTTAAAGATTTCCTTACACATTGACCCCCACAACATCAATTAAGTATATTCCCCAAAATTGGCTCACAACAATACGAAATGGAAATGTCAAAACTTACCTTCTACATTGATACCCAAACATCACTTAACAGAATCCCCCAAAATTTGCCACAACGGGTAAAAAAGTAAACTCCATCCACACCCTACCAATTTAAAATATTCCTTATCAACAAAATAGGACCAAATGGTGCATAAGAAAAAACACAGGACTAAATGGAGTAACATTCCATAATTTGGGATTTACTAGTAATTTTTCCTAATATTTTTTCATATTATATCAAATATAAATAAAGCCATCTAATTACTATATGTTTATGGTCGTGTAATTGTTAGGTTTCACTTATTATTATTATTATTATTATTATTATTATTATTATTGTTATTATTACTATTATTATTATTATATGTATGTTGAGAAAGATTGTGGTGCATATCCCTCAAAGGATATCTACCATATGTACTTTATAACTAAATAAAAAAAATAGTATAATTTTATACTTTTTAAGTCATAATATATATTTTTTTTAAAATGTCATAACTAAATAATGCATGAGGTATAACCAAACATATCAAAATAATGTCATAACTAAACAAAGAAAATGGCATAAGTAATGGTACATATGGTAAAAAGTATTTATTGTATTTAGGGATGTAAAAAAAAACAAAAAATTTTTTTTGACTAAATCGGTTGAACTGAACTAAACTTGCTATACTTGTTTGTTTTTTTAGTATGAATCAGTTTGTGCGATTTTTAATTTTTAATTTTTTTTTTCAATTTTTAGTCTAATACTAGTTTTAGATACCTTGTGCGTTGAATTAAACCGAAATTGATCGACAGTTTTGCATATTTAACATAATATATATTAAATATATAATGAAATTGGTTGAGTACAAGATTCAGTTGATTCACTTAATAATTATTTTTTCTTAAATATTCCAGATTTGACAATAGATATGGACAATGTAATGGGGGTGTTTGGGAACCTTTGAGATTGGCTAGTTTAGCCTCAAATTGTCCCGCCTAATTCAAAATATAAATATATATATATATATATGAAAAGCAGCGGCTGTCAGCCTACACTGTCACCAACAGTGTAGGCTGCAGACATGTAAATGACCATTTTACCCCTATAGCTCAATTTTGGAAAAATAATGTTAGGGGCAAATTTGTCATTTCAATCTTACACCTCATTTCAAACACATTTTTTAATACAACAATCAACTCAAAAATTTAAACCAACTTCCCAAATACAAAAACTAAAATAGCCAAAAAACCTAAAAAATAGTCACTTCCCAAACACCTACTTTGTGCAGCTTTTTTTGAAGAATCACTGTTAGCCCTTTGTAGATAGCCTACAGTTCAGCTTCCAAGCTTGTACCAATGTGAAGCTTCCCATAATAACTACACACCCATGCTCTCCTTTCATCGCGAATCAGACCACCAAATCCTCCTTCACCTCCCAATCTTCTACAGCCATCTGTGTTTAGCTTGAGCCTACTTGCAATTGGAAAAGACCAATGTATGAGTCTAAAAGCAGGTTTGGGGTTCACAATTGACATAACAAAAGCTTGGTGAATATCATTGGCATATTTCCATAATGAACCCGCCATTATCAAGAGTATTAGTCACAATATTATTAAATACTTCGTTGTTCCTATTCTTCCAAATTGTTCAGAGAGCAACAATAAACACAGTATAGACTGTCAGATTTGCATTAAAATGATTTTTGTTTTTAGAATTGCATAAAATCCAGTCCCTCCAAGGCTTGCTACTCATTACCATTGCCTTCTAAAAATAACAAACCACACTTCTTTTGCTTTATAGCAGTCTTTCAGGAGATGGTTCATATCCTCCTCTTTATAGCAATTGGGGCAAGTAGGCTCCACAGTCAAGCCCCTTTTCATACGAAGCTTATTTGTGAAGAGTTTCCCATGGATACAACACCACAAGAACCCTTTCAATTTCTAAGGAATCCTTAACTTCCAGAGCCATTGTCAATCCTCTGCTTGGGACTGGTTACCACTCACCAGATCATAAGCACTAGTGATAATTTCAGTAATACAACATTAGTTTTCAGTTTGTTAATTCTTGTTAATTATCAAAAGTCATTGAATCTATCAATGCATTAGAATTCAACCACAGAACTTGATCTTTTTCACTAGTTTGGTGAATTTTTAGCTTTTCTGTCGATTAACTCTTGTCTATCTTCCTCAAACCAGAAATTTAGTAACAAATATATATACATACAAGAATGACTTTCATACTTGTGGGTTGTTTCTTTTATTCCTATTTTACCCTTAACTTGTTTTGAAATTTGCTATGTTGCCCTTTAGCTTGGTTGGTGAAACAATTTACGTGGTCGCATTTTGGAAGTTATGTAAGAAATTTTAATTGCTTTGGTTGAGAAGGTTTGTCTTGGGTTGCCTATTTTGGCCTTAGCCTGTTTTTGAATTTTTTATTTTGCCCTTTAGCTTGGTTGGTGAAATAATTGGGGTTGTGGGCTTTTGGAAATTATATAAGAAATTTTGATTCATTGTTATTAGCCCAATAGTTTAAAATGAGAGATTTTTTTGACTTTATTTATTTTTTAAAAGTGATGTTAGAGTGATTACTTGTATGGTTGTTATACTTTCAACTTCTTACAACCATATCTTCAATTTTTATACAATTAAATATCAATCATTTTATAATACCTATGTACATATCCAAATAAATAATGATATTCAATTCAAATAATGATTAAATATTCAAATAAATAATAAATGAAGGAATAACAAAACAAAAATAGAAATAAAAATAAAATGTATGAATTAATTTATAAACTAAGAGGTAAATAAATAAAAATCAAGTTTTAGGGTATTTCCAATTATAAAGTGGTATTCTAGGATTTAATTATGATAATATATAGGAAAATTATTCTTTATTGGGCCATTTTGCAGACTTTTACGAAACTAGGGGCTAAAATGCTATTAATCTAAGGCTCAGGGTTTCATGTGTAATTACCAAAAATTAGGATCTCTACACTAATAGGTTTGGAAATGTTGATTTTATCAAATAGTTACAAGTACAGAGCAATTGTTAAATTTGTAACATTTTATAGCAATAAGTCCAAAATGGCACGATAAAATGTACTGGTATGTATTATAATGATGGCAAAAATAGTGTGCTGATCTGTATGGGATTGGCTTCTATGTTTTGGTGGCCTTAACTGCCATTTTCTGACGATGTTCTGACACATTTCTTTAGGCGACAATTTTTTCAAAAGTGCAAGCTACACCATAGAGGCTCTTTGTGCTTCACAGTTTACAGCGGAGAAGGAGAATCTTAGAGCTGTGGAAACTCAGATTTTGTCTAAGAGGGTGGAACTCTCAAAGTTTGAAACTGAATACAGAGAGGTTTAGATATCAATATTTGCAGTATGCATCAGCTTTACAAATTGCTTTCCTTTTGTTTATTTTTCTTGTGGATGTTAACAGGTCCTCCAACAGTTTACAGAGATGACCAGTAGATACGCACAAGAAATGCGAGCAGTGAGTTAAATGCTTACCGAACTAGATTATGAACTTTATAGGGGGTGTTATTGTTGGAGTGCGTTGGTAGTTCTAAAACTCACTGAATTGTATGTTTGACCCTTGTTCTATGTTTGATTTTGCAGATTGATGAACTTCTCAAGCAAAGGAATGAAATTCATGCTTCTTACGCAGTTGCTCCTCCAATGAAAAGGAGTGGTAGTAGAAGCAAGAATAGAAGTGCATCCAAGGATGCCAAAGATGATGACCAAGTAAGAGAGAAGAAATCTTCAACAAGAGATAGGCCAAAGAAGAAAAAATGGTATAATATTCACTTAAAGGTGGATAAGAGGAAACCTTGCTAAAGCCGGTGAGAATTTTGAAAAATGCTCTTGGTCTATTAACATTTTGTGTTACACACAAAAACCAATCACAGAACTAGATACAAACCCTCTCACATGGGTGGTGTGAAACCCACAAAAAGGTGAAACTCACTTCATGTGATAGGTTGTGTCCAGTTCTATGATCAGTTTCTATGTTTCTAGACTTTTTCTGGTGACAATGGGTGTTATCATGCTCTGCAGGAGTTTAGTCTCTTCGAAAAATTATGGGGAATCTTAAACTGTATATGATTGGCGTAGCGTCTGCTAAGCTCATGTGTTGCTTCACGATCCATGTAAGCAAAAACTATTGGATATGTGAAGTGATTCCTGCAGCAGGCCATAATTTTAAATAAAACCAAACACTGGTCCTGGCAGAATGGCAGGCAGCCTGTAAAGTAATCGCGTAACTCATTGTTATTGTAAATTTTTTTCCTCTTTTTCATTTGCATTCGTCGTTCTGTTGTTCTTTTCTCAGTAATTTTCAGGCATCATAGCTGTAAAGTACATATTCTATTGATGGAGTTCTCTCTCAACCTTTGCTTGGGGTGTGCTTTGTGGGATAGACCATATTTTTGCTGCCCACAGGAATCTAGGGGATATATTGGCTATTAATGAGGCATACTAATCTAGAATAAAACTATTTTAGTCCTTTAATATTGGCAACGAGATTCTTGGTAGCAGAAATTTCTTGTTTATATCCTTGTATAGGTTTTGAGGTTCGTAAATCCGAGGGATAATTGCTGTAATTTTGTCCTTGCAAATTATGAGCTAGTAGTAGCGTTGAGAGGAAGGTTAGGTGTTTCTTTTTTGAGCCTCGGATAAGTGACAAGTTGTTTGAATGGCTGGATTTTAAGCTGCATCCATGCTTTCCTGTAGCCAATCGGTTAATCCTAAATGTTGCCTTGTGTGGTTTTTTAGTTTCATATTTAAGTTGAAGAATGGATAGATATCGTTTGTCAATTATACATTTTAGTTAAAAAGTTATAAAGTCATTATAAATTGTCACATTACTCTCTTTATTTTTCTATACATATTTTCATAAAAAGTAAAAAAATTATTAAAATAGTTTATTTCCAAACGAGACCTGAACTTGCAGATAATTCCGTGATAGGCTGTTACAAAGAACAGAGCAGATCTGTAGTGAGGAATTTGCTAAACAATTTGTGAGCTTATGTGGGCTTATGATAATATAAAGGAAAATTATTCTTTATTGGGCCATTTTGCAGACTTTTACGAGCTAGGTGTTAAAATGCTATTAAACTAAGGCTCAGGGTTTCATGTGTAATTACCAAAAATTAGGGTCTCTACAACCTATCCCCCTTAAATAAATTTCGTCCTCGAAATTAAATCGTACCTCACGTCTCAAATAGTTGTGAATAATTTACCCACATCGCGTCTTCACATTCTCTGGTGAACTCTTCAATATCATGGTGACGCCAGAGTATGTTAAGAAGTTGAATTGTCTTTCTTCGCAAGTTTTTTTTTCTTGTCTATCCAAAATTGCTATTGGTCTCTCTTCAAAGGTAGCGTCTTCGTTGAGTTGGATTTCTTCCCAGTTGGTAACGTGAGAATGGTGCATTATGTACTTCCCTAATATAGATATGTGGAAAACATCATGTACTCCAGCCAATTGGGGGGTAGAGCCAATTTGTACGTAACCTCTCCAATTTCTAAATTATCTCGAAGGGTCTGATATATCGAGGTGATAATTTTCCTTTTCTTTTCAAAACGAATGATACCTTGGCAGGGCTAAATTTTCAAGGCAACATCACCGACAATGAAAGTTAGAGGTCTTCTTTATCTGCATAACTCTTCTGGCAATCTTGAGCTGCCACCAATCTTTGTCGAATAAGTTTCTCCTTTTCTGTAGTTTCTTTATTCTATTCCACCAATATTGGTGTTTTAAGTCTTGGTACACTTTCATCCCTCTTGTGTGCAATGCAAACATCGAATGATGGAACTTTTTCAAAACTTTTTCTCTAAGTGACTCATCTTATGGCACAAACACGCTACCTTGATGTCTCAAACTTCCATTCAAGTGAATCGTCCAATCAGGTATAGGATCGCCAGATGCTATTCGCACTTTTATGCAGACCACGTCCTGATCATACTTCTATGACTCTATTACCTCGTTCAGTAATTTAGGCATAGCGATTTGAGCACCAAGGTATACCTTCTCGTCGTAAGCTTTCATATGTACTCCGAACTCATTAAGTGGTCCGACCATGTTTCATTCCTTGAGTGCCAGACTAACAGTAATCCCCTGGTTCTTACTACTTAGGGCATTTTCCACCACATTAGCTTTGCTAGGATAATACGATACAGTAAAATGGTAATGTTCGAGATATTCTATCCACCGTCTATGTCTCATCTTCAAGTCCTTCTATGTGAACAAATACTTCAAGCTCTTATGATCCGTGAAAATCTCAAACTATTCGCCATATTAATGCCATTGCTTTAGCAAAAAAAAACCATCTCTGCCAACTCCAGATCATGTGTCGAATAATTCCTTTCATGCGGTTTTAGTTACGTGGAGCCGTAAGCCACCAACTTTCCATTTTGCATTAACACACAGCCCAGCTCATCCTTAGATGCATCGCAATACATTGTATATCCTTCGTCTCACGCTAAAATGATGAGTATTGGGCACTAGTCAATCTCCTCTTGAGTTCTTGAAAGGATCGTTCACATGCTTCATCCCAATCATATTTTACCCCTTTTTTGCGTTAGACGAGTCATCGGCTTCGCCAGTCTAAAAAAATAATCTTGAATAAACCACCGGTAATAACTGGCCAACCCTAAGAAACTATGAACTTCAAATACTGAGGTTGGATGCTTCCAATCTAATATTACTTTTATCTTGGCCGGGCTCACTCCAATCCTATGCTCAAACACTACATGTCCCAAATTTTGACTTCCTTCAACTAGAACTCGCAGCAAGTTGATCATGCCACCGCATTGTCGTGCTCAGACCCTCCTCTCTATCCCCCTTAAATTGGAAACACCTCCCATCAGGTGTGTAAGTCGTCACCCTCCTCTGGTAGCAGTCAATCACCGTTCAATGGGCAGATAGCCATTCCATACCTAAGATTATGTCAAAATCGAATATGTCCTTGACCACAAGGTCGTAAATCAAGTGTAAACCTGACACTTCTAATTCGCATTGACACTTCCTCCCAAAGGTGATGTGATACTTAAAGTAGTTTTAAAGGTTCATAACGATTTAACACATGATATTTTTATAATAAAAAAAATGGTGCGCCATAATCGAATAGAGCGTGAACCCAAGAACTATAGAGTGCGATGTTATCTCTAATTACTAACAGGTCTTCGCCCTCTTTCTTTGATTGTAGGGTCTAGCTCCCATTCAAACTTTCTTGCATTTTCCCTCTCAATTGATACAATTGTTCAAGAATCTGGTTTCCAATGAGGCTCAAGATTTCAGCTGTGGGTATTGGTCCATTCTCAGGGTTTCAATTACATGATACTTCATTCTTATTGCGTTATTGCTCGCGAGCTCGTGTGTTATCGCTTGTCTCAGTGTAGCCGTTGGCTCGAGTGTGGTTCACTATTTTTCTTCTTTCTGTTCATAGTACGAGGTGCAACATAAGTTTGAGTCTAATTATGGAGGCAATTCTCAAGGGTAATCAGCTAATCTTAAAGTTATGGTTTAATTATCATACGGTGTTTAAAGCAATAAGATCAAGTAGTAAATAACAAATCTAGGGAAGCACACAACATAACTTCACATATATACATATAGGCAAAATAATAACTACAAGACTTTGAAAACTGGATTAATAAAAAGAAAATATGAAGTGGAGATGAAATAATATTATAGTAATTGCATCAATTAATACAAGGATCATCGGAAATACGAATGGGTTATGATTTTAGACTTTTATGTGGTCAAGGTATAGAGATAGTGACTAAACTAGATATTTAACTTGAAACTGCGTCGGCCATCCGCGTTTCAAACTAAATATCCAAGATTCATCACCGAATGAAGAAATTGCAACTTGCAGAAAAATTCTCGTACAAGATGGCATAATCAAGGCACAAGGTTGCCAATCTAGCAAATGGTATAATTGAAAAATACAAAGTAAGACCAGATGGTAAGGATTTAATCTTGAAAGTGAACAACATCAAACAAGGTTACAAATATGAAATGAGGGTATGACGATTGATATAAGACTCATAGAAATAATAGTATCTCCTACTTCTATATTGCGTCTAATGTTAAACGCGTTGCCTTATTCAAAGTTAAAACCACTTCCCATTGTAGGTTATCGTCAAATTGTTTGAAGTCGAAATGCGTGGGTAAGGGTTGAACCTAAGCTCTGATACCATTCTGTAACGCCCCAACTTCCGGGCCGTTAAATACGCACAATAATACAACACAAGTAGGATAGATGACCAGAACATATTAATATACATATATAACCAGAGTTAATATCACAGACAATTCATTTATATTCCATTACAGGATTGCCAAAACATTGCCAAACCAAAAGTCAAAAGGAAAAAAAAACAACTAGTCTAAGTCTTCAAATGAACCACAGCTCCAACACTTCATCTCGTTTGCCTTCGAAATAACCTTCACCATTGTAAACTGCTTCATCATCTGGCATGACACGCCATGAGCTTGGAATGCCCAGTAAAAACACACACACCCCCATATCTTCTATCAACCAATCAACCATACACAAAACAAATCGGAATACATAACGTACTTACAATAAGGTTTTACGAATTATTAGTTAGACTAGGCATCTAGAATCCCCCAAAGAGATCCTCCTACCCAACCACACGGATTGAACACTGGACTATTCAGAACTCCCCATTTTGCTGCTTTGCAGACCTTACCACCTATGCCCACCTCCTGGTTATTTACCGGTCAGTGACATTGATGGACCTCAAAAGGGACGGCCAAACAAGTGGGCTCGCTTACACCCTGCACATACCATACCAAATCATGCCTAGGGCTCGCTTACACCCTGCACATAACATACCATACCAAAGGGCTCGCTTACACCCCAAAACCACCGCATAGAGTCTGAATACATCCATGTCAACCTAGGGGCTCGCTTAGATCGCTTGCACAAGACTTAACTCATTTGGTTTTAATTCCATTCACATGTTTATTACATAAATCATTCTGAAGCACAAGGGTGAACGTCACCCATTACCAACCCCTTTCCATTTCCCATTTATTAGATCTTTTGTCAAGCAAGCTAGTCACATTCGGTAATTCGGTAATATAAAAGAGCATGAGACAAACATAAGAAATGAAATATAGCCCATGATAATCATACCTAGGTATGGTAAGGCAAGAAAATAACATTAGGCATGCTTTAAAATACTTAGAGACAAACAACACAACAAAACACCATTTCCAGCACTGTTCGGTTCTGCATGGCTAACAAGAGTGCTTTGGGAAAAATACTTCTAGATCAAGTTAGGGGCTGAAATTGCACAGAAATAATAATTAACCTGTCTAGTTTCAATTCCAATTCACAGAATGTGCATAGCACCTCCAGAAATTCATCTACAAGCTATATTCAAAAACCTGTCCAGATTTGTCACCTTTTGGGAAAACTAGCTTTTCTCTCAATCTACCCGACAGTTTTTACTCAAATAAAATCTGTTGGAAACAGGACTTAGATTCCTAAATTTTGACAGTAGAACCAACATGAGATGATTTTTCTAGAATTTTATAAAATTTCTAAAAGTGGACTATTTTTCAAAGACTCTGGACCAGATTTTCAACAAATTACCCAAGCCCTAAAAACACACAATTAGGAGCTAATAAAATTGTGACAAGCTCTAAACACATAAAATATCCTACAAGAAATTCAGATTTGATAATTAGATAGATTTAATATTTTTTTTTTTAAATTAGAGAAGTTGCAGCAGTGCCTAA